CCTTTATTTATTATCTAATTCATCCTCGAGTTAGATAAATTGTTGAGAACTTAAAATAAAAGATAGGAGAAACATAGAAACAAATATGAATGAAAGTTTTAAATTATTCAAGAATTAATTCAATTTTTTGCATTTTGCCTTCTGTTTCTTCCTTCGTTTATGTCGTATTTATACAAATTTTGTTTTCATAACCTATATATGTTTGAGCTGATTGGTAGGCTTGATTGCCCTTTATAGAAAATGTTTGGCTGTTGAATCTTTAGGGAATTAGTTTTTATTTATTTATTTTTTTAAATTTTAGAATTTAATAATAATCAAAACATATACGCATATTTTTGTTTTTGTATATTTCAGTGAGTTGCATTTCCCATTTCTTTCCCTTCGTCCCCATCTTCTCCTCTTTTTCAATTTTCAATTTCAAAAATATTCACATTTGCTTATATCATTTTTCAAAAGTGTACAGCTTAATTTTCATAATGTAACACTGGCTTCTTAATTCATTTGAAACAATTTTGGAGATGGTGAGTGGCAGTAAAACTATTAGAAGAGTTTTCATCTTCAAGCCATGAAGAGTTGATTAATTCTTACAACTCAACAAGGAGATGGTGTGTGAGATCGGTATTCATCGAATATGAACGGGTAAAAATATTGATTCAAATAAAATTAAAAATTGGAGTCATTTCGATGTTAATCTAGGGGAAGATAATATCGCAAACTTTTTGCATTTCTGTAGGAATTTAAAGTGTATCAGTAGATTAAGGATGGGTAGGATAAAACATTACTGATAAAGTAGAATCAAAATTTTTATTTCTTTATGACAGTAGGCATCCAAGGAAGACTCCTTAACCAAGAATGTGTGGCTATCGTAATTTAGCAAAATGCCAGACGATGGTATTCTGCACTTTTACTCTATAGTAGCAATTAGACAAGGAGACCTGTATTTCTTTATTCAATACCTATTATACTGTAAACTAAAAACTACTTTTAGACATTATAGAATTATTTAATACTATGATATGAAATTTCTTATTTCGGAATAATTGACAAGATTTGAAGTTTAGACGGATGTTTTTAGTGTTGTTTTGTTTTCAACACTGAATGGCTTAATCACGAAGTTTCCATTGTCCTTTTGGATAACATTTTCAACGCTAATTTTAGAATGAATTAAGTCACCGCTGAGGCGGTTATCTAGAAGGACAATGGAAACTTTGCAGTTGAACCATTCCGTTCGAAGAACGTAACAACACTAAAAAACTTTATATTTCTTTCTAATTTATCCACAAGTAAAATGTTTATTTTGAACTAACTTATTTTTAAAAATAATTTGTCTAGTGAGCATGTGAATATGAAAAAAGGTTCGTAAAGTCATTATTAGTATTTCACTACCATATTACGTACGAAAAAGATAAATACGTTCCTTGTGGTATTTAAAGTTTTAAGCTTGACAGTTACAGGAGCGAAGTCATTGTTTTTCACAGAGTAGGGGGGCTAACCTCATGCCCAACCTTCCCTGTTCTTCACGCATACTGCCGGCCAGTAAACAAATCAAGATTTAGGAGTTCGTTAAACGGGAATTCAACTCCACGCTACACATGTGGTTAATGGGCATTCTGTTACTGAACTATCAACGTACCAGCATATATGTATATAATGGTTATTTAGAACTGAACAGTTTCAAATGCTTGTTCACAAAACAAAACATATAGCCTGTATACAAGGTGCTAAACTACTTGGTATTCATTCAATTTTGTTGAATTTTGGAATGACCATAATATATTTATCTTCTTCAGTAGCTTGTCTTTCTTTTAAAGCATACACTTGTAGGCAAAAAAAAATAATGTTCTTCAATCAGGGGGTTATTTGCCGTAGTTCAAAGTGTTTTTACGGCTCTTGACTTTTTCTGAAGCAGAAGTTAAGGGAATTTGTATTCAACATTTCAGCGTAATAGTCTGCCGAAAAAGATGGGCAAAATATTTAAAGCATTTACAATAAAAACAATGATAGCTGGATAAATTTTCCCCTTTCATTCATTAAGGAAACCCATTTGTTTTCTCTCTGTTTCATAACTTACTCATCATTTTTAAAACATATGAGACGGTGAGTAATTACATAAATGTGTCAAGTAAATTTCCTTTCTTCTCTTTTTCTTTCCTTATAAACTGATAAGAGAATTAAGAGTTAAATAGACTAGAGTGGGAGTAATGAGTTGAAGAAGCAGTGGACATATTAGAAGGAAAAACACAATTTCATTCAAAATATAATTCAAACAGTAAATAAAATTGTATGCTGAACTAATTTCTCTTGGGAAAACGATCCATTCTGTTCATATATATATATATATATATATAATTTGTTAAACTCTAGGACATAGGTCTATTATTTGTTTGACTCTGAATCGTTGCCAGAACTAGGAAAAAACGGTTGCTCTCCTAAACTTTATTTTAGGATATAAGTGAATCAATCCGTCTGTGACCCATTGATAATTGAAAAGGAAGAATAAGAGCATCACTTGAGCCTATAGCTTGGTTTTAACAATGAAGTGAATTTATTCTCTATGGTGTTTAACAAGAAAATTGCCGGTAAACTAATCACCACGAAACAGAAAATTACCAAAAATTCTGAAATTTTAGATGCTGAGTACCAGGATCTCTAAGAGATGAGAACTACAAGATAAATTTACATGCTAATACGATAATATATAAACAAAAAACTGAGTTTCGAAGTGTTGATTTGCAGAAATTTGATTGGTTTCAAGTTAGATCATGAAGTGACTTCAGCTAACGAACCATTTAGCACTATGAAATGGTGAACAGCTTTTTCGTTTATGTTTGGGAATCTTTATTACTACGTTTCCAAATACCCACTCACCAGGGATTGTACCCAAAGCCTTCAGTTTACAAGGCGAGCACGTATACCGCTCAGCTGCTAAGATGGGATTCAGTAGTCCATCAATTTTAACCCCTACCAAATCGTGGTATAGTATGAACGCTACCTAATGGCATTAGACCCAACTTGGTGGGTCCCCACTTGGTCAAAGATTCTCGCTAGAAATTGATTTTGTAGTCAGTCACCTTGCTTTTCAAGGGTTTGACTAACTTCATTTTTACCATGAAATGAATTCTGCTACGAAACCAGCAGGGGTCCATCAATCTGGCTGTCAGGAGAGGTGGTGGTCGATGACATTAGCTGACGGTCACGCTGTATCACGAATTAGTAAAAGTTAAATTGACGGGCTGGGTGGTTAATAAGCTTGCCTTGTAACTTGGTGGTCTAGGATTCGATCCCTGGTAGGTGGGTTTACAAGTTGAAACTGTTGAAAAGTTTCAAACAACGAAGAAACACCTGTGAAGTAATCTCCAGTTCAACTCATTTTCTAGCTGAAGTTAGTTCGTAATCAAATTTGGAAGAAAATGAGTGACATAGATATACGGTTGGTCAATATCATGTTTTTAAATATCATATCGTTTGGGGTTCATACATAATCATAATTCTAGATCAGTATCTAATGTAAGTTGTGCTATTCCTATAGATTCTTATCATCTTCTTCATTAGACCTGACATCACAAAATGGGTCATCCCTATAGCTGAGTAATTTAGTGAAGTAGACTGGCAGTAAGACAGTACTAATGATAATTAAAATGATGAGTTATGAGTGCAACAGCCTTACCTTCTTTGGATTTCACTGCTAACCATTTAATATTTTATACCAAGATGTATTTTCATAGTGTTTGAAGATTTAACAATTGTATGTAATAAAATAATCACCTGAATATTTATAAATTCGTTGTAAATTCAGTAACAAATTTCTGTGATTACAAAGAAATGTCAAAGAGAAAATTATTTAATAGGATGTTAACAGAAAGTCATCCTGATAATTTCTTCTCAGACAATGCCTGATTAACTTTAGCGCAAACTATGCCAATAAGAGTCTTAGACCCTATATATATATATATATATATATATATATATATATATATATATATATATATATATATATATATATACGCTTACATGCTCGCGACATGAATTATAAGTCGAATATAATACTGACATGCATGTTAATGTTAGCCTCATAGTGTTAAGATTGCCCTAAGGGATGAAATTAAACGGTATTAAATGAGGCGTAAATTTGTTTAATTATCATTTATTTATTCATTCAATTTTTTTTGATGTAATTTACTTCTGAAAGAAGCAAAGAAATTCGATCTGCTTAAACAGTTTACTGTTATCCATTCAAAAAAAGAAAATGAAAGCAAAAATAAAAGAAACTTACAATCAACTGAAACCTTTTCATCTCATTCTTTAATGTGTGGCCACGAATTCATAAATTGGATATTTGTTTATTTGTACATTTTTATGAAGTTCAATAAAATACGGAGTTAGTCATTCTTCCATTGTCAAGCTTAGTGCAATTATAATCAGTCACAAATGAAGAAAAAAATTAAAAACCTCTCAGTTAAAAAAAAATACACTGTTATAAATGTACTTATTTAGTGGTAGCTAAGGTATTCATACGACATGATTCCATTTGTTTCGATTAACTCATAGGACTTAACCATCAAATACCAGTATTCCTATAGAGTCGAAGTTAGGACAAAGCTTCTTTATGGTGTAGAATTGCATTTGACGAGACTCTTCAAGAAGAACTAAGCATACTTGGTGGACTAGTGAACATCAGACGCTTCAAGAGACCTGTTCTGTCTTGATAGCATGTTATCACAATACTTACCCCTCATTCAACGTATTTTAATTTTAAATTTCCCTACTGATTTCATTTTTCTTAAGACATTAGTTATTATATGTTTCACAAAAGCTTCCTTATTTTATGCTGAGTTAAACGAAATTATGAAAGGGATCGAGTACCTAACTACGATTTCTACAATATATATATAGTAGCAGCTGGATCTGTCAGATTCCATAGAGTTTTCACAAAACTCTGTCCGCCCATTGTCAAAGATAATCCGAAAATTGACCCTTTTTTGTTTATTTCATTTTAATAGCATATTCAACCATAAGTCCGGTGATCAAAGCACTCAGTCCTAATGAAGGATGGGTTACGGGAGGTGAAACGATTACTGTGATAGGTGAAAATTTTTTCCCCGGTCTCCAGATCGTATTTGGATCAACTGCTGTATGGGGTGAAGTGAGTTGTGTTCACATTTTACTTTTCTACCTGAATAGATATAAAACCTGTTCGAAACACTTTGATGAAAATTCAGTAGGTGATAATAACACTGATTATCTTGTATTCATCACTTTATGTTCATAGTTTATTTTCATATCAGGAAATATAATTCATACAAAACTCTGAGTTAACTGACACTCCACAGGTCAAGGAAATAATCAGCACCAAAACAAGTAGGCTAGAGGGTGTGAAAACACAAAAACAGCCAGTCATGTTCAGTGTCACCAGGAGGGATGACTTATAAATTCGTGAAGAAATCACTTCAAATTGAAGTATGTGCTGAAAATGTTGCCTAGTAGGGCAATGAAACCTTCGCAAATAAAACATCCAGCTCAGAGAACACAACTACATCAAAAAACATTCACAAATGTGTGAAGTTGTGTTTAGAAGAATATATCTACATACTTAAGCAGCACATATAGCGGTATTCGAAGTGAGAGGTTTCTGGAATTCTAGGTATACTTTCCGGATACAAGCTTAAATAACTTACGTGTTGGTTTGTAGGGATTTGATTGGTTTCAGGACTTCATCATGAGCTGACATTAGTTAGAGAACCATTGGAAAACCTGGGAGTACTGGACAGCTGTTTCATCCTAGTTTGGGAGTCTTCAGCATTACGCACCCACCGGGATTCGAACCCAGGACCTTCCGGTTACAAGGCGAGCTCGTATAACATTAAGCCACTGGGACCCGTTCCAATGGTCCTTGAATTCTAACTTCTGCCAATTCACGACATAGCGCGACCGCTAGCCAATGTCTTCGGCGAGTATTTGTCCTCACACCCGACCCGCTGCACCCTACTGGTGTGTAAGTAAAAAGTAGATACGTAGTTCAAAGTTTTATGAATACATAAACAACGATTTACGAAAAGCAAATCATTTAGTGATCTTATTTTTATTCAAATGAGAAAGTCTTATTCTTCAGTTCTAGGTGAAAGTTTATAGGCTGAGAGTATTCAAAGTTAATGGTGATAAAGCTCCAGTGGAAATACACATCAGTATATGCGCGCATATCAGTTTTTACTTCCTGTGAATGTTTATTCATTTAAAATAAAAGTAAGGTTTCAGATCGTAATTACGATCACTGTATTTCATATTGCAACATCTAAATTACGCAACAAGGTGATTGCAAATTTGTGTAGTTTCACTTATCTTATTTGAAATAAAAATGAACGGAGTAATTTAGTCAGAATTCTGTTGACATATCTAGGAGCTCGATTAAAATAAATTTATATCTGTATTCCTTTCAGTTGAGAGCCTTTTAAACAAACGATTTGCAGTATTTATTAAGTGGCTTAAACGCTGAATTCTCAGACACTGAGTTACTATTTCATACTATGACGTGAATATACCACCAGTCTTACAGAATAAGTAGACGAGTTCTTCAGCTTTTATATAGTTGGTAAGCCTCTTTTTCTGTACCTCACTTTTGTAACCAGTTTTTAATCATTAATAATAATGACTTCAGGAAATGGTGCCATAATCCAAGTAACAACTCATACGAAAACGATGCAAATGTTTCACTTGATTACCGATAAATATTGTGGTATGTGGGAACGATAATCCCTGATATCAAGCGAAGATGGAACCTTCAGAATTTGTAATTGATGAAACCAGGAACTGGGGATAACCGAGACTCCTCCATACACATAATTTTCACTCTTATTTAAATCACCGGATGATAACTTGCCAGTGATTGAATTCACTTGTAAGAACTTACAGTGATTTCCCACAGTTAAGACGAAACGTATTTAGTAACATTTTGAGGCATTTGTAAATACCTTTAGCCTCCGTTTCATTTTCTTTGTTTTCACATGCAATCAGCTGATAACACCGCATGCCCTTCGTGTTAGCACTCCACCAAGACATTTATCTGGAGTTGTCGAGGTTACACTGGCATTTAAAAACAAAACATTTTGTAAAAATAATCCGGGTAGATTTGCCTATATTGGTAAGTAAACAACATATGCTTATATGTTCTTATAATCGATAACATTTAATCGTGGGCATCATTCTCACTGTCCTGAAATTTCTTGGTTTTCGGGGATACCTGACTGGATGAACACAGTTTTCTATAGTTTGGTTTGTAAGGATTAGTTATGTTTTACGAGTTGATCACGGATTAATATCAGTTAGAGAACCATTGAAAACCAGGGAGTACTGGACAGCTGTTTCATCCTGATTTGGGAATCATCGGCAGTACGCACCCACCGGGATTCGAACCCAGGACCTTCCGGTTACAAGGCGAGCTCGTATACCATTTAGCCACTGGGACCCGTTCCAATGGTCCTTGAATTCTAACTTCTACCAATTCGAGATTTAGCGCGACCCCAACCATTGTCGTTGGTGGGACATCCATCCACACACGTTGGAGTTTCCTGAGTTCTAGTGAGAAGTCGTGACTAGTGAGGTCCAATTAGATGTCACGTGTGTGGATGGATGTTCCACCAATGACAATGGTTGGAGTCGCGCTAAATCTCGAATTGGTAGGAGTTAGGATTCATGAGCCATTTAATCGGGTCCCAGTGGCTGAATGGTATACGAGCTCACCTTGTAACCGGAAGGTTCTGGGTTCGAATCCCAGTGGGTGCGTACTGCCGATGATTCCCAAATCAGGATGAAACAGCTGTCCAGTACTCCCTGGTTTTCAATGGTTCTCTAACTGATATTAATCCGTGATCAATTCGTAAAACACAGTTTTGTCGGATATCGTTACGTCTACTTGAGTCATACTTACTTAAATAGACTTTCTTCGCCATTAGCTCATTTTCTTCAAATAACACTGAACTATTTTTTAATTTAAAAAAAAAAATAGGACAAGTGGACAACTAATCCTCTACTACTAATTCGCGTGCGCCTTTACTTTTGTGTCTTAGGTAAAACAATCCTGTCAAAAGGTTTTCTTGCTTTGTAAATCTATGAAGTGATGTCATCGCTTGCACTACAGCGCTGACCATAAAGTCTGGTCTTCGTTATAATTTTTGTGTTCTTCGATGAAATTCTCTCAGGTCCTAAAATCTAAATTTTAGACAGTACCGTGTTATGCAAGAATAAGTAGTGTTACCTTCACAATTATTTAGCTGTGAAAAGAGATACACAGAAAACTCATCGTCTGTGACTATCAATCTATAAAAAGATATAAAATTATTCTTATTTGAATAAACCAATAAGAACCATAATGTTGCCTAGCTTAAGACATAAGCATCTTATTTGGACGTGCTTAACTTTCTTATAAAATTGTACCGAAAACTACTCCTGAACTTATACTAAAAGCTATTCTAGGAAACAGTGAAGTTCAGTAAGTAAATTAGTTACCAGAAAATTTGTAAGTGCAAGAAAGACTCTTTACCATAATTTCACAAGTTTCTTCATTACGTTCTCATTTCACCTTTTCGATTAAAGTTTCGACATGAAAGGTCGTACAACTGATGCTATTTGTTTTGTACAGGATAACATCTGAATCTAAAACATGCTTAAACCTCATCATGTATAAATATCTATGTAAAGGCAGACGACAAAACGTTCAGTAACGTAATGTTTATTTGAAATTGTGATATACAGATATAGGGGAGTTAATGTTTACCGTATTGTAAAATTGTCATTTGCACAGATATTCCGTGTTATGCTATTTCTGTCCTTCGTATTGTGTTCCTTTGTCTTCTTTTCGTGTTCCCCATGTTTTGTCGCAATGCCGGTCTACTTTCCGTCTCTGACGTTAAATCTATCTCTCCACCATTTGATCTTTATTGTGCTGATGAAAGTTTCTTTATATACTACTGAATTATCTTGTAAGTAGCACACACTACACCGACACTTAGTGGGATGGTATTCCCTCCAGGACTAGCAAATATGAAAACTATTCATATAAGACAGTCAGTGTAGTCGTGGCTTATCACGCTAATTTAGAATAGGACTTCCTGATCTACCATATTATTTACTCGACTTTAGGACAATTATTTAATTTTTTTCCTTCACGTTCCCAGTGGAACACAGGGCTTCAAGCTAGTGGCTTGAAGTTTCTGTAGCAGTGTTTATTTTACAAGATGAGATTGCCCAACCATTCCTCTTTACCAGCATTATTTCTGGCTTTGCGAGGTAAAGGAGTGCGTCGGTGGCCGGGGATCGAACCCTGGACTATGTATATGGTCGGCTAGCGTCCTAACCGCTGGGCCACCGACGCACACTTTAGGACAAGCCTCAGGTAAAATCTCATACAGTTTTTCTCTTCTGGAAAATGTGATGACTAAGATTAAACCTGAGTTATAAATTAGCACAAACCTGATAGAACGAAATTCCATTTACAAAAACACTGTTTGCTGAAGTGTTTATAATCCTATTACTCTGTGTTATCCAGCTATGACAGATCCCACGATTGAATATGGATTTCAAAGGCTATGCAAGATTATACCACGACATCCAGGTGATCCAGAACGTCTACCACGTGAAATAATATTAAAACGTGCAGCAGACCTAGCTGAAGCTTTATACACAATGCCAAGTCGTGGTATGGGATTCAGATCACCGCCAGCACTACCAACACAACCACCCTCATCGTCATCTTCCGTAATATTTTGTACAGGTCGAGAACAACAACAACTGACGAATAGTAGTCGGAATTTGGATGGCCGTTGTACACCTGCCTCAAAATTTTCTCCAACGGACGATAATAACAGGAACACACACAGTCGTAATATTTCATTGCGTCCTCATGTGCCACCAGTGGAGACGGAGTCAATGAACAGTTTCTTAGCCTTAACAGCTCATAGTGCCATAAATTTTTATCCCTACGGAACACCGCCAACAGGATCATTAAATGTACCAAGTCTGGAAATAAATGAAAACCGTGATTCTTTAGTTTTGCATGATCCAAGAATAATTCATAAAACCTTCTATTCTACTGATGCTAAAGATTTGAAGAGTTCCTCACAGTGTACGACAACAGGCGTTACAACACATTTAATGCGACCTAACTCAGATTCCACATCAGTTATAAATGATGATGTTATTAGTATGAGTCAAAATAGCCCAGGAAGTGGTGGTGTCAGTAGTAGTGGTATGGAAAGTATCCAAAGTGACATCAATTGCTTAGATAATGTAAATAACTATTCACCACGTAATTCACAGAATAATGAGGTGGACAGTTCACCGAATATTGGATGCCATCGTGATCAAACCCATCCTCACTCAAACCGTCAATCAAATCTTCACCAACCACATCATCGTGAATTCTGTGAGAATAATAAAAATGATGATAATGACAATGGGAATACTCATACAAATGATAATGAATCCCGTTTATTAATAGAAGGCAAAAAAATAAAAATTTCAAATATCTATACGACATCTAGTCACCATCATCAACATCACCATCCATTGAAGAGATTACGATGTGATTGGTTGGTAGAGGAGAAAAATAGTGATGAAGGTAAGCGACAACAAATGTGTAAGAACAAGCTGACAACTGATACACCTCAAACTATTCCAAGAAATATAGCACCATTTCTAAAACATATAAATGATGAAGTGAACTGTACTACTAATACTACATCTGAAGTTAATTCATCTAGTTCATCAATAAACTGTGTTGATAAACAGGAAATGTCCTCATGCTTTTCATCAGTACTGAACAACTCATATACATCTCATGCGAATATGTTGAATCCTAGCGACAGACTATTGAAATCGGTTCATTCAAATGAAAATTGTGAGGTAATTTCATTTTTGTGAAGCCTACATTAGTTTTTTTTATATAAATGAATAATTTAGTATTTGTTTGTAAGGATTTTGTCTGCCTGGCTGGGAGGATTTCATCATGAGCTGACATCAGTTAGAGAACCAGTGGAAAACCTGAGAGTACTGGACAGGTGTCTCGCCCCAGTCTGGGACTCTTCATCAGAACGCACCCACCAGGGTCCGAACCCAGGACCTTCTGGTTACAAGGCGAGCTCGTAGGCCATTAAGCCACTGGGATCCGATCCAATGGCCCCTGAATTCTAATTCATGAGATGCTCACTGGTGACTAGCCCTATTCAGGTAGGTAGTTACCCGGGTTCTTGTGGGGAGTCGTGACCAGTAGGGTGCAGCAGGTCGGGTATGAGGATAAATACTCACCGAAGACATTGGCTGGCGGCTGCGCTATGTCGTGAATTGGCATAAGTTAGAATTCATGGGCCATTGGGCGGGGTCCCAGTGGACTAGCGGTCTACGAGCTCGCCTTCGTACTAGAAGGTCTTGGTTTCAAACCCTGGTGAGTGTGTCTCATACTAGGACGAAACGGCTATCCAGTACTCCCAAGTTTTCCAATGGTTTTCTAACCAATGTCAGCTCATGAGGAAATCCTTTAACGAATAATTAAGTGTCGACTGTCTGCAGTCGGTAAATGAGGGGGCCGCAAACTTCGAATTCATACTTTCAACGTTTTACCTTTATGAGATAATAATATAATAATAATTATTATTACCATCATTATTAACTGTTTAGCTTACATTTGATGATAACTATTTTGCAATAAATGGATATCTTTATCAAATGTAATACTTTAAGTAAAATAAATGTGTACGTATAGTTTGAAAATATACCTTCTTGCTTAAATAGTGTTTACACTGCCTAACTTAGTGATACATTTATTTATAATACTACGGGTAAAGATGACATTGACGTCTATATGGAAAGCTCTCTTGGAAAATATCTGAAACTTAAAAAAAGAAAAGAACCAAAGAAACATTTCAGCACCTATAAATCTTTTGACATAGGTAGTCTTTTAGGGAAGAAATGTGTTTACATTCAAATAAAATAATGTCAGCTGCCACTTCATTAGTGTTTTTTCAAGCCTTTGTTTGCAAAAATTTGATTGATTGCAGGTTTGATCACGAACTGACTTGCAAACGAACACCTGAAAAATTAATCTACTGCCCACTACCTGAAGTTTTTGTGAGAAAGTCGTGACCAGCGGGGAGTCCGCTTAGTTGGATGTAGGGACACGTACTCGGCAATGATACTGGCTGACAATCACGCCAAATATTGCGAGTTGGAAGAAATTAGGGTTGATGGGCCATTGGACCCCATCTCAGTAGATGCCCACCTTGTAGGCCTAAGGTTCTGGGTTCGGTCCCTAGTATGTACGGTTATGGATGCGGACTAATGAGGAGTCTCAAGCAAGGACAAAACAAGTGTTCAGTACTTCCTGATTTTTAATGGTCCTCTAACTTAAGTTCGTTCGTGAATAAAATTTAGTGTGGGCGAATTTAATTTTCTTCTATTATTTGATGGATACAAGTATTTAATTATTCTAAAGGATTTTTTCGTTTTGATTTTTTCTTAGATTATTATTATTGTTCCCTTGGGTTCCTAGTGGAACATAGGGCTTCAACTGCACGTCTCCACTTGCTTCTGTCTTCTGCTGTACTCTTCACCTGCATCCATGTTAGTCCATAGTGTTTCAACTTCTCTTCTCACCATCTCCATGTCACCCTTGGACGTCCCACTCGCCGCTTCCCTTTCGGGTTCCACTCCAGCGATGGCCAGACGCTCACGCGATGTCACCCAGCGGTCTCCTCAGCGAGCGAGTGTCCAATCTATCTCCACTTTCTCCTGCATATTTGTTGGTTGGCGATTGGTTCTTGTTTTGTTTCTTCCCATAGTTTCTTGTTGGTGATTCATTCCGGCCCGGCCATCTGACCTTCAGTATAGAGCGAAGACAGTTGTTGATAATGGTCTGCAACCTGTTGGAAATATTCTTTGTGACCCGACAAGGTTTTGATCTGTATAGAAGAACTGACTTGACGTTTGTATCGAAAATCCGAATTTTGTTGTTGATACTGAGTGACGAAGATTTCCAGATTGTTTTCAGATTGATGAATGTGTTTCTCGCCTTCCCGATTCTCGCTCGATTTGACATCCTCGTCCGTTCCGACTGCCTATAGTTGAGACAATGCTCCCTAGATAAGTGAATGAAGTAACCTCTTTCAAATCCCTCCCGTTGATGGTGATTGGCGCTGGATGTTGCTGCTGTTGTTGTTGGTTGGTTGGTTATTTTCATAACCTCCGTCTTGTCTATGTTTACCTGGAGTCCTGTCTTCGCCGGCTGCTTCTTCGACTAGTTTGTCGGTTTTCACTTGTAAGTCTTCGATTTTGTGTGACATCAAACATAACTCATCCACGCGCGAAATCCAGGTCTTCTAGGTTCTTCACGTTGGTTCAGGATATCCCTGTCTTCTCGTTTCCCACTGTCTGACGCATAATCCAGTCAGTCCACCATAATTAGGAATATCATTGGTGATAATAAGCACCTTTGTATGATTCCTGTGTTTAGTCCAAACACCTCGCTGAGTTTTCCGTTGTGGATCACTTGACATGCGCCGTTCTCGTACAGCTGTTGAATAAGTGATATGTATCCATATATATATATATATATATATATATATATATATATATATATATGGTGGTCTCTCTTTCTATTGCTCTCTTAGTCTGTGACCATTTCACTTGGATGATTCTGTCTCCTTTAACAATGTATATTCCCCTTATATTCTATACAATATGAGTGTTTGTTGACAGTCCGTTGCTTGGTGACAGATATCCATATTATATGTGTGGTTGTTGACATGTCTGCTACATTTTGCTATGCATATATGGATCGACACTCCATTATAATTAGCCATTCATGTTAAGACTGTCTATTGATTCGTTCACACACTTGTCTGGACATTCATATATATTTCGCTCTCACAAATCTTGTGGGACACGACTACTTTGGTGTAATACCACTTTTGCATTCTCCTTGTGTTTGGAAAATAGAAGTATCATCGCAACCCTAGTGGTCTTCTGATTTCCATCTTCTTGCATCAGGACTATTAAATTCTCGACCAGTACATAACAATAATTGGCGACGAGTACATAACAATAAGGTTGATGAATATTTCGGGTACGCCGTAGTACTCCAGTAGTTTCCAAATTACTTCACGGTCAACGCTGTCAGAGGTCTTCTGGAAGTCTATAAAGTTGAGGTAGAGGATTGATTGACATCCCATGCTTTGTTCTGTGATGATGATGCGTAGAGTTGCAATTTGGTCAGAACATGATTTGCCTTTCCTGAATCCAGCTTGTTCTGCATCCAGTGTGTCCTTTATGCTCTCCAGGATGATTCGACTCAGAATTTTACTTGGCGTCAACAGGAGCATGATTCCTCGCCAGTTCTTGACGAGTGAGGCGTAAGTCGCCCTTCTCTGGTAGTTTAACGAAGTAACCTTTCCTCCAGTCAGTAGGCACCTTTTCCTCCTTCCAGACCCTTTTGCAATAAAGGAGTCAGCATATTTGCTGTCGTCTCTGGGTCCGCTTTCAGTGCTTCAGGGGGTGTTCCATCTGCTTTTCCAGCTTTCAGAAGTTTGATTGCATTCAAGGCTTCAGCTTTCGTTGGAGGATTGGTGTCAACTTGCAGTTGTGTACGTGCTGTTGTTGGTATTTCTGGAGGGGTTGCAGGTGGTGGTCAGTTCAAGAGTCCTTTGAAGTGATCCGCACATTGTTTAATCTGTCTTTCTTCCTTGGTAATTGAGTTCCTGGGGCTGTCTTTTATAGGTTTCACTTGTGTTGATCTGTTCACGGATAGAGACTTGGTTATCTGATATAGTGTCCTCAGGTCCCTTTTGCCTGCTGCCTTCTCAGATTCAGTGGCCAGATTGTCGTAGAATTGTCTTTTGTCCTTCCCAGCACTCTTCTTCACTTCTTTGTCCAGTGCTGTGTATGTTGAACTCAGCGTCTCCTCCTCTTGCTCGTCTTTGCATTAAATCATTTTCTCTTTCACCATTCTCCTCTCCTCTATTAGCTTCCAAGTGTCCGTTGAGAGCCATTCCTTTTCTTTTCTTTCTTCCTAAAACCATTGAACACGTTACGTTGAAAATCACCTTCAGAGAGTTTCAATGGTCTTCCACGCATGATTCCTCAGTGATGTCTTGTTCTGAGACGTTTGTAGGCACACAGCATTGAATGATTGTAACCTTCCTTCCTTTTCAGTTGAACCTGGCTGTCATTATCCTGGAGGGGATTGGTTCCCACTGCATGAGAGCTTTGGCTCCTGTTGGTGACATCATGATGGCCACTTCCTCGGCGTGCTCGTGTTTGTCCTCTGAGTGGCCGGAATAGATTATTGTCTCTCCAGTTGATAGTTGGCACCTTCCACGTCCGTTCCATCTGCCGTCACAGATTCCCAACATTTCTATCGTATATCTCCTCATTTCTGCGGCTACCTGGACAGCCTTTCCAGCTCCGTACATTGTACGAACATTCCACGTCTCCATCCTAATTTTTGCTTTCATCGAAAGAAGGCTTATCGTCTGACAAGCTTCCTGAAAGCTGTCACCAGCCTGCGTCATTTCACTTCCCCGATTCCAGCGAAAAATAAGGTTATTGTTTATATTCTTAGTATTTTTAATATATTTATGCGTTGAAGTTTCTGTGGCAGTTTGGTTAAGTTTTGCGGGTGGAGTTGCTAGCACCACGCCCCCGATCCTCCCTCTTTATCCGTGCTTGAGATCAGCTAGAAAACTAGCGAGCTAGTAATTTAGGCGAGGTTTTTTTCTTAAATACGCTGGGATTATTTAAAAAAATGTATATGTAGAAGATGGGTGAAAATAAATACTACCCAGCTTGTTTTCCGACAAGGTTTCAACACACTGTATCGAGGACCACATCCCTTCTCATTATGCATTATCAATCTTGTTTAAGACAATGTCCATCGATGCATTGTAAGTCAGAAATATTTCACATTTATTGCGATAACCGCATTATAATGCATATTCCTTTTAAATTTCAACATTCCGCACTAGTACAATGAACATGTGGTCCAGACAAGTAACAATATTTCCCAATCGATTTGTCCTCAGACAACGTCCTATTCAAAGTTCAATAAATTACCTTCAGGTTGTGAGAACAAAGATCGACAACATACTCCTCTTTCAAAACTGAACTCTCGATTACACGGTGGAAATCTAGTGTCAATAAATGATGGTAAAACTACAGATATAAGTTTATGGAGTGGCTCATATAACTTACAGGTTAGTCTTTTTTTAAATTATTTATTGGTAACCTTTTTCCTATGTTAAGTTTTTCGAAGCTTCACTGATTTAAAGATGGGTTTTGTCTTAAACAGACATATTGTGGAGGATTATTAAAGATCAGAAAGCAATGGACCACCAGATGTTTCATTCCAATTTGAATTCCTCCGGCAGATGAGGTTGTTGCTGTGCATACCGAAGATTCCTAAACTGGAGGAAAAGAACTAATTTTCCCTTACCTGCTTTCAAAGCCTCTCACTATAATAATACTATTAAGTACGGAGTATCTGTTGGGGTTTTTATAACGATGACATTTAATTACATAGGTACAACCACAATGAATCACTGGCATTCCTAGTCAAATTTTAAATTTAACCACTAGGATTCACCTTCTACTACTCATAACTGTATGAGGCGCGGATATAACCGAATGATATGCTACCATATTTCATATTGATTAAACTGATGCTTACAATACTCTCCTGACTGAAAAAACCAGAATTTAGTTAGGTAACGATTAGTGCTCAGTACTGAAGATCAGGTGGCCCGAAAAGATCAGCAACAGGGATCTCTGGGAGTGAATCAACCAAGAACCAATTGCGCGACAAATATACAGGGAGAAATAGAGGCGGATTGGCCATATTCTGAGAAAACCGTCAAGTGACATCAGACGGAAGACTCTCTCTTGAGTGGAAACCGAATGAAAAGTGGCGAGTTGGCCATCAGTGCGAGGGTGACATGAAGGAGGTCATGTGAAGAGGAGATGAGAACATGTGGGCAGACGTGGAACCAGGTGAAAACGTTGACAGAGAACCGAACGCAATGGAGATATGCGGCTGAAGCCCTATGTTCCTCTGGAAACTAAAGGAAACAATAATAACCATTATTGCAGCAAGCAGGTGGCCAGGTTAATAAATTGGAACTAGCTAGTCTGCAAGTCTTCATATACTTTCTGTCAAGCTCACCCATATTTTTTACATGATGAACCCATAGATTTGCTAGTTTGTGCAAAATTTCAGTAGTTTATTAATAAATACTTCAGTATCCTGCGAAAGAATATCACTTAATTGACGAAATTTAGAGTAATGGTTCTCAGTGATCCACTCCATTCTTTAAAAACATGTATTAGAAGCACGGTAATATTTCGGTTTTTCATTTGTAATCAGTAATCGCTACTTTCTCTGAAGTTCAGTCTAATCCACATTTTCTGTCTGTTCCGTACAGTAAACATTCATTTGACTTTTGAGTGTCTTTTATAATTTCTTGACATCTGAAACTTTGAATTAGCATTTTGGCTATTTTCGTTATCAAAAGGTTTAATTAATTATTTTCAGTAAGAAGCTACATAATTTAGCTATAGGATTGCTTATGCTGGTTTTCTAAAATACGTAAGTATAATTAAGGTAAAGAGTTCCTATACCAAGTAGTATTAACATTGTTTTTTTCAGTAGCCATTATCTTCATAACTATCTAAAACCATGAAACATTGGGGCTTCTATCAAGAATACCTTTAGAAAACTCTTTGATTCAGTAAATTAGTAATTTGTTCCATTCAGGGAAATACTCATTATGAAGCTAATTTTTGACTCGTATTGAAGTAACTAGATTTCAGTGATATATCAACCTGTAAACAGTTTTGGGTCGGAGAGCAGTTCTGATTCGAAATTGACTCAGAACTCACCATTTAAAGACTCGATTAATTAAACTTATCACTTATCGTATGATAAGCATTCCCTTATGATAGATCTTGTCATCAGGTCAACTAGCTAAGCATTGGTTGCGAGTTTCGTGATAATAACGGTTCAGTAAGCGTGAAAAAGTCAGATCGTTTATCAATCAGTAACCACTTCGTGCAACTTTACAGGATAGGGTTTTTCTTAGAGCATTATTTTTGGATTGTTGGTTTTATATTCCAGCTAGAGGGTTAGGCATGTAGCACAGCACCAGCCATCTAACCTTTTATCGGTGTATAAACGGTAGGTACAGCCCGGTGTCATACTAAGAAGGACCATATATAACGGAACCGTCATTTGCTGTAAAAGCCTGCGCTTCAGTGAAACAATGAAATGTAGCTATGGAGCAATTAGTTAACTCTTACTGTTAACTTAATTTCTTAAGTATTTTATTTGTGGTCGTTTGATTTTATACCTTCTTCGTTTAGCCTGGTCAACAAACTTCAGCTTCACTGATTTATTCTGCGGATAGCTACATTAGTCATAATGTAGAGCCGAACTTCTCCTTGTGTTCTACAACAGAATCACCGTTATTATCTTCAGCAATCTCCATGTCATCATCTCTCCCGACAACAGTGCCGACTAATAGTATATTAAAAACAAACTCTTTACAGTCTAGTCGAGAATATTATCTTCATTTATTGACCAGATCAGAAATGAATGAAGCTTCGAGATCAAATGGCCAAATAAATAGTCATCTATCTCACTCAGTGGCATTGCCAACATCCTCACCATCGTCTACATGTATTCAAGGCTCCAAAGATAAGGTTATAACCTTTTGATGGTCAAGAAAATCATAGCAATGATCAGCAGAATCAGTAGTAAGTCATAGATTTATTAATACGTGCTTGTTCTGAGGTGAACTAACTGCAGTCTATTTACATTAGTCCCAGTAGCTAACTAACCACAGTTTAAGTATTCTGAACCGATTCAATCTTCTGAGCTGGGTAGCATACTGATGATGGGCTGGATTTCAATCTATACAAACTGCCGTCTGGTGTTCACATCATCTTGATGTTACTGAAAAGCAGTACTTATTGATGTGGTTGGTTTCCAAATACTCATATCAACCAGAAACGTGATTTAGCCTTTTAGGTAATAGTTAGAATACATCAAAGCAGATAGGCATCTACCAAATTAGTATATGTTAGTCGACAATGTTCAGTTTTGTCTACATACTTACCGATATATACTAAATAGTAAGATTCGAATAATTTTTCTGAAAAATTTTGTTGTCTACACAGAATTGTGTGAATCACATTTCAGCGAAATACGGGAGATTCAACCATAAAGTTCAGTGATGAATGGAGAGGGAACAAATTATTCACTTTTTAACCACTAGCCCATGTAACATGATAACCATTTGAACTTTAAAACTAGTTTAAAGAAAATTCATATACAAATGTATCATTCTATACAAAATATTAATAATACCAGAAGTGTGTTAGTTGTGTACGCATGGAAATACCAAATGACAGGCTGTTACTTCTATGAAAAGAATTAAACCATGAAGTTGAGTTTACTTTTGTACTCATAAATAACGATACAAATAAAATAAATGCTCAAGAGTAGGTTGAAAAAAAGAACACTCTAGGGGCATTTCAGTCTCACTTTAATGCAGAAGATATATATATATATATATATATATATAATCAAAGATAGAAAGTGCTATCAGTCTGCATATACCTTGCAACGTGATAGATAACATTCCCTAATTTGAGACTAAATACAAAACAATGCTTCATATACTAAGAAACTGGAAAATCTATAGTGAAGGAAACTGTGACTGATAGTAAATAACCGTTGCTAACACTAAAGGGAAGTTGGATTATTATTATAATTATTAAATGAATTAGCCTATTTGAAGGGATCATGTCACAAAAGTTCATCACGCAAAATAGCGCAAGAACTTGTCTATTAGTCCTAAACACTTCACAGGAGGCGTCGGTGACTTAATGGTAGAATGCTCGCCAACCACGTATGTGTCCTGGAGTTCAAAACCCGGCCAGCTGATATTGCCTAGTAGGGCAATGAAAGCTTCGTCAAAGAACACAAATACACCAGAAAACCCTTTACCTAGCTAAGCAAGCGATAAAAGCGGTAAAGAGGGAAGGTTGGGCATGAGGATATCAAAGTCATCCCGTAAAAACAACACCAGTGCTACCGAAACTTTAGAGCTCTAGCTTGAAGCCATATCTTCCACTCTGAACGCAAAGGAATAAAACCAACTTTGCAAGTTTAATAATGCTCACAAACAAACTGTTAGGTAATTAATTATTAAACTTTTAATAGACAAAGCTATATTAATCATTCATTCTACCTTTTGGTTTCAAACAGGCAAAGAACACTCCGAAATCAGTCTGAAGAAAATAAATACCAACATCCCACTGGATTCAGTTTGCTTTCTTTTTCAGTAAATCATTTTTGTCCTCAGCTAAAATCATTCCTCATCTCATTGTTCATAGTAAAAAAATGTCTAATGTAGCAATAGTGAATTCATGCTACTCTACATTGCACACTGTAGTATGGCAGTGAAACTAATATATATATATATATATATATATATCAATTCCTTCAACTAACTTTTCACAATAACTTTGATTTTGTACAGAAAAAGCATAATTTATACAAATGAATAATTTCGGAAATATAATCTTTTATTTACTTGGCTAATTTGTATTACACAACTTATATTTAATTGTACCGCAAACGTGAACCATTCATTATCTAAGAGATCGATATTAGCTGAAAAGATCAAGATGTTCTGAGTTTCTTGACCTAAAAGCGACATTCGATTTAGATGACTGAGAGGTGCTGTGGCAATGTTTAGCCATGAAGGGAGTGCGGAGAAAGTATATCACACTAGTCAATGCACTCTACCTGAACTAACGCAGATGCAAAATTGTCATTTGAAGTGATGACAACCAGTAGTGTCTCCCAGGGGTGCCCACTATTCCCAATTTTGTTTAATTTCATCTGAGATATACCGATGGAATTGACCCTAACTGGCTTTAGGGACTTGGCGATTAATTTGTTAGCAGGGAACAGTCTTGTCGACTTACAGTATGCGGTGAAGATACTGATAAAATACACAGTCTTTTGAACACATAGAATAGAAATCGTCTCATATTTGTGCATGCAGTTGGCTCCCGTCAAATGCAAGACGATAATGTAGGAGTGGTCTGAATGGACTGCTATTTTAAATATAGGGGGTGAAGTGGTAAGGCTTACTGAACACCCCAGTTATTTGAGAAGTTGCATCAGCCCCAATGGACTGATTACTGACGAACTCTCACCATGGATACAGAAGGATAGTGCGGTATCTGTCATCCTGTGTCACCTCTGAGGTAAACACAATATCTGGCTTTCCATCAAAGGGCGTCCATACAGCGTATCAGTTCGCTTTGTCCTCCTTCATGGCTGTGAGAAGTAATCACTGAAAGAGGAAGACTTGAGGAGGCCAGATGTTTTCATCCACAGATATTAGTATTCTGTCTGACGTGGTAAAATGCATGATATGGTGGGCAATATTGACATTAGGTGTAGGTTACTACGCAAGGAAGGGAAGTCAGTCGATCTGATTGTGAGGCTGTACTGATTGGGATGGCGACGAAATATGTTGTGCATGGTACATGGAACATACTGCAATTGTTCTGGGAAGAAAGAAGAGACAAAAAAAGAAATGGTTGTCAATGGACACCTACCTGGAGGCTAGTGGAAGACAGCAGAGGAGGGTGGTGAAACAGAAGATGAATCAGTGCATAGTTGGACAACAGAAGGAGATGAGTTCAGTGTACACTACACTGAATAAAGAAGTGAAGAAGAGTGCTAGGAAAGACAAACGACAAGCGTACGACACACTGGCGACTGAAGCAGTACAGGCAGGTCACAGGTAAAAGAGACATCAGGACGCTATGTCAGATAACCGAGTCTCTATCCGGGAAGAGATCAACCCAGATGATGAGACCATCAAAAGATGCTCAAGGAAACCAGATTACCAGGGACGAGAAACAAAACAAACAATGGGCTGATCACTTTAAAGGACTCTTGAATCGAAAATCATCTGCAAATCGCCCAGAAATACACCACCACCAACAGTATGCATAGAACTGCCTGCCAATGAACACAAATCCTCCAACGAAAGCAAAAATCCTGAATGCGATCAAGCTACTGAAGTCCAAAGGGGAAAGTAGCAGGACCAGACGGAATGCCCCGACCTAAAGCAGTGAAAACGAACACAGAGACTGCGGCAGATGTTCTCACGCCATTATTACAAAAGGTTTGGAAGGAAGGAAAGGTGCCTGCTGATTGGAAGAAAGATTACCCCGTAAAGCTGCCAAGGAAGGGAGACCTAGTTAGGCCTCTACAAGAACTGGCGTAGAATCATGCACTTGTCCACTCACGCCAAGTAAAATAACTAGTCGCACCATCCTGGAGAGAATAAAGGATGCACTGGATACAGAACTCCGCCAACCGAAACAAGCTGGATTCAGAAAAGGCGAATCGTGTGCTGATCGAATCGCAGCTCTACGCATCATCATCACAGAACAAAGTATAGAACGGCAGTCAAACCTCACTCCACCTCAACTTCGTCGACTTCGAAAAGACCTTCGACAGAGTTGGATGAGAAGTAATTTGGAAACTACTTCAACACTACGGTGTACTTCAAATCTTTGTCAACCTCATTCAACAACTATATGATAATGCCACGTGTCAAGGGATCCTCAACGGAAAAATCAGCCAGGCGTTCGAAGTGCATACAGGAGTGAGACAAGGCTGCCTACCTGTTATCACCGATGATTTTCTGAATTGTGGTGGACTGGATTATGTGTCAGACTGTTGGGGAAGAGGAGTCAGGAATACGCTGGACCACCGACGAGAGGACTCTGGAAGATCTGGATTTCACAGATGATGTATGTTTAGTGTGACACAAACTCGAAGACTTACAGGCGAAAACCAACAAACTGGCTGAAGAGGCAGCGAAGACAGGACTGCACGTGAACACAGAGAAGATAGAGCTGATGAAGATAACCAATCAACAGCAACAACAACAACAACAACAACAACCAGCGCCAATCACCATCAACGGGAGACATTTAACAGAGGTTGCCTCCTTCACTTATCTAAGAAGCACCGTTTCATACACGAGCAGCAGGAACGGATGAAGACGTCAAAGCCAGTCAGAATAGGAAAGGCAAGACACGCCTTCATCAACCTGAAAACAGTTTGGAAATCTTCGGCACTCGGCCAACATAGACAACAAGATTCGGATCTTCAATGCACATGTGAAGTCGGTCCTTCTATACAGGTCAGAAACTTGCACTGCATGTGAGTCACGCAAAGGATTTCCAGCAGGTTGCAGACTTTCATCGACAGCTGCCTTCGCTGGCTCCATACTGAAGATCAGAAGGCCGGCTTGAAAGAATAAGCAACAAGAAACCCTGGCTTGGAACAAACCAACCAAAAGCCGATAGCTAGAAAAATATGTAAGAGAAAGTGGGGATGGACCGGGCATACATCCAGGAAACCATCGAGTGACATCGCGCGCAATACAGCTCATTCCTCGAATGCAATCACGATGGGAAACGATGAGTGGGTCGTCAGTGCGAAGGTGACATGGAGGAAATCATGTAACGCGGAGAGGATGAAAGTTTGTGGGCAATCGTGCACCCAGTTGAAGAGGACGGCAGAATATAGGACAAAGTGGAGATGTGTTGTTGAAACCCTGTGTTCCACCCAGAACCGAAGGGAATAAATAACAATAATAATTCTACATGTAATATGGAACTCGAAACTGCTGGACTTCTGTACAGAGTTTTGTTTTGATACCTTCAGTTATTCAGCAATTGTTTGAAGTGTACGTTTGTGTACTTACAATTTTTTCTAGACTCATTTAGTAAAATATCAATAAATTGATAGGATTCTACATCATCTTTCTCAAATATGCAATTAGCACGGCATAACAAGGATACACTTTTAAGATTAATTTACAGAAAGCCTTCTTAGTGGGAACAACTTACGTACTACTACACTTGGTTCCCTGTACAAACCGAATGGGATTTAATGTGCTTCCTACAGTGTGGAAACTGTAACGTCTAATTGATGTCTGAGTATGTGTAAAAAAGGTCTTATTGGAGATGAATTTCACTAGCCTTTCACCAGAGAAACTATAATCCCAAGACTACATAAACCACATACACTTATGATTACTTAAAGACGGATTTTCTTACATCTCAAACTTAGCGAACATTCATCATCGAATATTTTATAAATTAGTTGGCCAGTACGATTGGCATCTACTGTTCATTCTTTGCTTTTCAAATGGAACATAAGAGTGCAAGCTTTCGTAATTTCAGTAGCAGTGATGTTACTTTCTACACGGTAGAGTTTTCACCCTCCCTCTTTTCTCGGCCTATTACCCGCAAGGCAAGTCTGTTTTGCAGCTCGTCAACCAGAAACTGGACTAATACCTGTGCGCTACTGGTGAGCATTCTACCAGTGAACCATCAACGCACAAAAATACTATTAAAAAGCAGTTAAATATTAACAAAATAATGGGAAATGTTTGTTCAGAAACAATGCAACTTATGTGTATTGTTTTACCAAAAAGAAGACTAGATTGCTTTTAAGAAAAATGTTTTATTTCAATATTAACAAATTAAATTCATTTTACGCACAATGTTTTCCATGTGTTAAATTAGGTTTCATCTCATCTTTTTGTCAAGAAAGAGAGAAAATTTTCTCTTTTAGAAGTGTGAAAAATGCTAGAATTGATGAGCCGTAAAAATAGAAGTCCCAATAATGTTATGTGCACACATATACCAACTCAAAATAAGATTAATCAAAATTCAATTTATTAGACAAGAAATTAAATGCATGTAATTACTAGTATTATTACCAATAACTGAAAAGAAAAAGGTGTACACGCCTACTAATATATCACATATATATATTTGATGGAAGGTGGAGTAACATAAATAAAGGAAGTCAGAAGATGCTAGCCTAAACTGGAAGTGAGTAGAAAAATAAGCTAGAATTCAGTTCAGTCTAATTATATAGAATTCTCAGTTAATGATGATGACTGTCAACGGAACAGATGGGAAATGACGAGATAATTTAAGTTGCAGAAATGAAATTATTTCTGATAGATTGATGATTTCTAGTGATTTGTTGAATAATCTGTAAAACAAAATGTAATGAGTAGTCCTAACACAGAGGTTTAATTCGATGTGTTTTAATCACAAGTTCGTAGCTTAAAAAATCATGTTCTGTTTCCTCTTCATTTGATAAACAGACTTTATAATTAGCAATTTAAAGTTTATTGTTCAGAACATTAACATAAAAATATGAATACTATCTACTCAGCAATGTTGTGCTATGTGGTACCAGAGGTCAGTATTTATGAAGTCATTTAGGCTTCACTTAGCAGTATTCACAAAAAATCTGAACAAACTTGGTATGCGAGGGTCTCAGTGGCTGACTGGTTCATGGAATCGCCTCGTAACCTAAAGGTCCTATGTTTGATTTCCGGTGGGATCATGGGTGAGTACTGCTGACGAAGAG